TTCAGACAAGGATTAAGAATCGAAAACATTATAACGAATCCTCTTCTTTCTCTAATAATTTAGATAAGATAAGATAAGATAAGATTTTATTCGTCTTTCTTTCAAATGACATACAGAGCATAACATTGGAACATAACACATTTACAATGCAAAATAACAAATTATGGCAATGATAAAAACAAAGTTAACTAAAAGAAAGGCGAGGAGACCCTGGTAAAAGCAGAGCTTGTAATTATTAGGGTCCCCTCTGAGCCGGATAAAACATGATGAATAGATATTTGTGACTACCTAAGAATACAATAGGGAAAAGGGGGTATAACAAAACAAGAAGTGTACACACACACAACAACAACAACAAAACGAGAGACGAGACTAGACAAGACGGGAGAAAATAGAAAATATGAGAAATAATAGAAGACTACAGGACATCGACAATAGGCACAGCACACAACGGGCACAAGACAACAGGGGGAGGGAATAAGAGGTTGACAATCTGAAAATATTCAGTTAGACACATATTAATATCAAGAAGAAAATTTACATTTATAGTAATACATAATATATCTTGGCACCATAATAACTACAAAAATGAACTACTCTATGAGTCACAGTATTTATCGAGAAGATAAACCTTAAGTTTACACTTAAATGAAGAGAGACTAACAGATTGCTTAACGCTAGAGCCTAGAGAGTTCCAAAATTTAGGTCCAGTAAAAACCAAAGTATTAAAAGTTAACTTTGTCCTTACTTGGGGTAAGTGAAACGCAGAGGCATTTCGTGTAGCATGGTCATGAACTTGACTATTTTTCTTAAAAATGCTGACTAGAGCCTGTGGAAGGACACCAGAATCGAAGTCGTACATTAAAGAACCCAGTTGAATTTAATGAAATGTCAAAGCTTCGCTCAGGAGGGGGGCAACTGAATTCATGCAGACTAGGATTAAGAGTCGAGAACGGTACAACGAATCGTCTTCTTTCTCTAATAATTTAATGAAATGTCAAAGCTTCAGCGCTTCGTGCGGGAGGGGGGAACTGAATTCAGTCTAGGATTAAGAATCAAGAACGGTACAACGAATCGTCTTCTTTCTCTAATAAATAAAAAAAAACGGCAAGGCGGAAGAGGCCGGGAACTGAATTCAGACAAGGATTAGGAATGGAAAACTGTACAACGAATCGTCTTTTAATGAACTGTCAAAGCTTCAGCGCTTCGCGCGGGAGAGGAGGGGGGGGGGTGAATTGAATTCAGACTAGGATTAAGAGTCGAGAACGCTACAACGAATCGTCTTCTTTCTCTAATAATTAAAAAAAGGCAAAGCGGAAGAGGCCGGGAACTGCGATTGAGAATTTCTTTCTCTAATAATTTAATGAAATGTCAAAGCTTCAGCGCTCCGCGTGGGAGGGGGAAAACTAAATTCAGAATAGGATTACGAGTCGGGAAAGGTATAACGAATCGTCTTCTTTCTTTAACAATTTAATGAAATGTCAAAGCTTTCGCACTGAAAAAAAAAAGTAATGCGCACATATCCACCCCAAGAGAGACTCAAGGCGCCTAACAAGGTAAGTACATTGAACGAAAATAATTTAACATAATCAAATATAATTCAACAACGTTAATTACATCATATTTTGAAATACACTACGTCTTAACTAAGGAACTCAGACATTAGATAGGTTTTCAATTGTTTTTGGAACACATTTTGATTGGCTGACATTTTGATTGAATGGGGTAGGGAGTTCCATAACCGGGGTGCAGCAGCTGTAAAAGCTCTGTCTCCCCAACTCCTCTTTGTTCTTAATTGTGTTAAATTTGTTGAATTAGAGGAACGAATACCTGCACGAGAACTTAAAGAGATATTAAAAAGAGAGAAAATATATTCAGGGACTGATCCATTTAGTGAACGGTAGGTGAGTAGTAGAATTTTATATTTGATACGCTGTTCTATTGGAAGCCAGTGAAGTTTCTTGAGTATTTGAGTAGTATGGGTCGATCGTTTAGATTTAGTGACAAGGCGGGCAGCTGCGTTTTGAACCTTTTGTAGTTTGTGAATTTGGTATTTAGGAAGTCCATAAAGGAGAGAGTTACAGTTATCGAGATGAGATGTTACAAAAGCATGAATCAATTGTTGAGTGGTTTGGGGGGTTAAAAATTTCCTTATAGCGCGAAGATTACGAAGATGATAATTGGCAGCTTTCACACATTTTGAAATATGTGCATCAAGAGACATGCTTGTATCGAAAATGACACCAAGATTTCTTGCCTTATCTGAAGGAGCAATGTGCACAGAACCAACACGTATATGAGTTATAACAATCTTGGAAAGTTGTTGTCTGGAGCCTAACAAGAGAAATTCTGTTTTATCGTCATTTAGTTTGAGATAGCAATCATTCATCCATTTTCGTACATCATGAATACAACTTTCAAGATCTTTGACACGTTAATTTAGCTCTTAGCCCCGTGTTTATAGGGTGAAATGTGTTGATATTGGGACATTGGCATTAGTATATTTGTCGGTAATAATATTGGTGGCTAGTTTTGTCGATAATCGGTGGCCTCTACACCCCCCCCCCCCCCCCCCCCCCTCCGTCCCGTTGAAAAAAGGTCTAGCGACGCCTTGTGGTGATGGGTCAGAAGGTTTTGATAAGGTCTAGTGCGAAAAATAAATAAAAATAAATGCCGTGATGAATTTGTTTTTGTTTATAATTGGGGTGGGATATCTAGCCCTCCTCGTAGCAACAAGGGGGCAGGATATAATGATGAATACATAACAAACACACACAAAAAAACGGAATGTAAATACAAATGTGCATGCAGGTTCAGGAAAGTTAATATTAATTAATTCGAGACCTGATAAATCCTAAGCAACAGATAAAATACACGTATTAATTATTCAAATACACGTATGCATCCATACAGGTTCACACACAAAATATAAAGAGTCAATGACATTAAATAGCCAAAACAAAATAAAAAAATACAATAAAGGGAACAAAACAAACGAGGAGTAAGGCTGACGTGAATTGTCATTAAACAAGATAGATCATTATAAAACAAACACATCTACATTATGAAATATTTCCCCTCGCCTTCTACGCTTATGATGACGACTCGGACAGTCAGATGTCAGACATTCATATTTATTTATATGGGCCTGATGAGGTGGTTTGCTTGTAAACTATCTCGTCTTGTCACGAAAGTAAATTTTCATAATGTTTGCGACAAATATTCGGGGCCATGTGTCGCCCCCCCCCCCAGAGCTACGCCACAGCCAACATTTCCCTTTCTTATCATTTTGTTTGCTATGTGATTTTTATGACTAGCAACCCTCTTCTCGTATTATGAATAGCGACCCTTATTTCGTATTATGAATAGGGACCCTTAGGCCTATGAATTTCGACCCGATTTTGTATTATAGCGAGTACGACCCTCTTCTCATAATTATGATGGCAACCCTCATTTTCGATTATGAATCGGGGTCATTAAATATGAATGATGACCCTTATGAATAATGACCGTTTTCTAAAATTAAGAATCAACAACAATATATCCAAAGAAATCTAAAGAAATCGGGAATACAAATAATAATGTTGATATTAGCAAGCTTGAAGTAAATATCGGAATTAGAAGAAGAACAAATATTAATACGTGCTATTTCTGTTTTTAGAATCCCCACTGTACTACTTGTAGCTAATTGGCCCTCTGGAGAGAAAACAACGCCTAAACGGTGCCCGTTGGTCACCCATGATCCACTTTTTGTTATGTTAATCGAGAGCTGAGTTGATGAGATAGCCACCTGTCAGTGACCACTCTGTGTGGTCTAACCCCCCCCCCCGGCCAAACTAGTACAGACGGGCTTTAACATCCTGACTAAAATGTCGCAAAGTTTTCCACATTATTTTGCGTGGCAGCCCAAAAGAGGCTGACTGAATTTAGAATGATGCAGTGACATTATTTTGTTTAGATCGAATTTGATAATGGTGCATACCGTGCAGGGGCGGCGATTTCCTTTCACGACCGGGGGGGGGGGCAAAATGCGAGGGACGAGGGAGCAGTGGCGTAATGAGGAAAAACGTTTGGGGGGGGGCAGAAAAGAACCCGCATCACCATCACTCTTACATGTTACTCAGGTCCTGGCTAAAGTATTTACGATCAGGTAGATCAAGCCGAGCGAAGCAAGTGGACCGTAAGGTCCAGGGGGCAGAGCCCCCGGAAAGTCAGGGAAAATGCCATTTCAGCAACATTTGTAAATCACTGGTATCGAATTAGAAATAAACCACGTTTGAATGATTTTTTTTGAGGGGGGGACTTCCCCAAAGCTCCCCCCCCCCCCCCCATCAATATTGCGAGGGAGCATAGTGAATGAGAGGGACTACCCCTTACGGATTTTTGAAGTTTTGGTTTTATTAAAAAATTACATTTCTTAGCAAAACTATAGTATAAAAACAAGCAATAAACTTTTTTCACACTTCGTTTTGCTCAGTAGGCCTATTTACTTATACATTTAGAAGGTTATTATGCAAGGGAGCGTAGCTTCCGAGTGAAAAGTTTTTTGCATTTTTATTTGTCTACACGCTGCACTTTTGGGCCCTCCAGAACCTAAGTTTGTTGCAGTCTTTAGTATTTGCTACCTTTTTCGGGGGCACATTTTCAAATTTTGAGGGGGGAGGGACGATCCCCCTTAAAAAAAAATGAGGGGAGACGTGTCCCCCCCAAAAAAAAAACGTTCCCCGCCTCCACCCCCCCCCCCCCCCCCCCCCCACCGCCCAACGCCCCCCCCCCCCCCCCCCCCCCTGATACCGTGCATGAAGCCAGGATTTGTTTACTATTACAGCACTCGACCGATGGTCAACACAAATCCGAAAAATACTCTAACACTGAAGCAAACAAGAAAGGAAAAATTTAGAAACAAAAATATAATAATGACCCTGGATGAGAGACTACGTAACTTGTCCTGTAAAAAAAATGAATATACTTCGGATACGTTTTTAGAATAATGCTCTTTCGCACCAGTGGGATTCGCATTCGGCGACAATCTCCATGCCTTTTACACTATAATGAATCGCTAGTTTCATAAAGTCGTCATTAAATTGGCACCGTTAAATTGGCCTTTTTCGGATACCAATAATCTACGTGATTCCGGCCAGGATCAACGCACGCGTGATTCCGGCCAGGATCAACGCACGCGAACGTTGCACGAGGTGAGTACTGACGAGAAATATATTTAAGAATCGTCCAAGGATAAACTTGTGACATTTCATTGAGTTTTTGTGTAGACATTAACTGTTTGGTAATCCTCTGTTTTAGGGGTCTAAATTATTTTAGGTCGCGAACTTCAGGCAACAATTCAAAATACACACAATACATTGGAAAACAGTCCTGCGCGATTTCTAAGGAGCGGCGTATGTACATGTACGTGCGCACGCCTAACCTGCACCTAAACTAAAGCCAGGCTCAAGGGGGGGGGGGGGGGGGGGACCCAGGGCTGGAATGAACCGTGATGCCCTTCAAAATATTGGGTTACTTACGGCCAAAAAAATAGTGCCCTTTTCCCATTTGGCCTTGATGCCCCTGCGGCATTGTGCTGCCCTTTTTGCGTGGCCGTGGTGCCCTTTGTCCCAACAACTTGCCCTTTTTCGGTGAAAATTCCCTTACTACTAGGTCTAGATCTAGATCTACTTTCCCCGAGCAGAAAACTCCCGAATTAGTACTTTTCATTCAAAGCAAAAGCAGCGCTTATGCAGCTAGCAGCGCTCTTTTCTGCATCATTCTGCAGCGTGTGTGCATGTGAGCGATACGCTATCATAGTTACAGTACATTGTAGTAGGGGTTTCGTTCGACGCCCGAGGCAGAGTCTCCCGTGTTTTGGTGGAGGCGACTCCATTTTTTGACGGGGGTGTGTGTATTTTTGAGGGACATTTTGTGAGCTTGACGATACTTTTACGACATAAATAACACTCTTTCTTGTATAATAAATTATTTCTTATTGTGTTTCAATAACTATTTATGAAAAATTTGACTTTTCAAGATTGTTTTGGGCATTGAATTTTAATATAGACTCTAAGATACATGCTCGTTCACGGAAAAATCTAATCGTCTCGTAACTTGTAAACATCACCATGCTCGTTTTCACCGCTGTTTATACGTCAGAGTGGAGGAATCATTAATCTTATAGTAGGCAGTTCAGGTGATTTTTTTTTTGTAGGAGATAGGGGGTGATTTCTATATCATTTTAAAGATCACACTTTTATTTACACAATGCACTTTAAATTGTTCAATTTGGACCAACGGTTCCAGAGATACGGATTTTTAAAATAATTTTCAGAACCATATTGATGAGGACAAAAGATCAAAAGGTCAAACCTATTATAATTGTATTGAAGTCAATTAAACCTGTGTTTAAGCAGTGGCACCATTGTTTTCAGAAGTTTGTGATCTGTTAAGCCTCATAATAGTCATATCTCTTCAATGCGATGACCAAACTCGCTGAAATTTGGCAAATATATTCAGTGATGGTTGGCAAATATGAAATTTAATATCTTTAAACAGCACCGTAATAAAATATGCAAATTTATGCAAATTTCCATGTTTTTGTCATCATATTGTTATAAAAGGTAAATAAAAACCCTTTGAATCTAAACTTTTACCAAATGATCTTGTCTATTTATTTCTTTCTTTCTCTCTCTCTCTCTCTCTCTCTCTCACACACACACACACACACACGCACGCTTTCTCCCTCTCTCTCTCTCTTTCTTTTTTTCTCTTTCTCTCTCTCTCTATTTCTTCCTTTCTTTCTCGGTCTTTCTCTCTCGGTCTTTCTCTCCTAGTCTCTCTCTCTCTCTCTCTCTCTCTCACGCACACGCACGCACACGCACACACACACACACACAAAAGGATGAGGTGACAAATCGTCTATGTAGTCTATACTTGCAGCAATCTTAGAGTAAATGAACAGTTTTTTCGAAAAAATATAGTTACTTTACCCCAAAATATAACCAATTCATGGTAGATTATTACAATATTTATTCCAAATATTAAAATAAATATCACAATTATCAATAAAATACAACATACAATAAACAAGAATTGAAAAAACAAGTCAATCAAGTCACAAACGGGTCTGAATTCTAAGACTACGAAATGGTCTCGACGTCACTCACACAGCTGTTTCATTCACGTACACACCATGCATGTACACGCATCACGCGTCGCATCGTCAAAATCAGTTCGTGCAATTTTCAAAAACTGCAATTAAGCCTGAGTCATTAGGTTTTTGTGCTAAACGGTTAACCGTTAAAAGTATACGGGCGGTTTCGTTTAACCGTTTAATAATAATCTGAAAAAGTGAAAATACAGTATTTGTAATAGTGCTGTAGCTCGGAACCCTGCTGGTCTTCAGACTGTCGGGCTGAGCATTCCCAGCCCCGGACTATGGCACAAATTGGGTCATCCTGATAAACAGAGACCAGTAATAAACAACATAAAACATGTCTTATTATTCCTCATCTGAATTTGATATCATGATTAACCTTGCAAAGTTACTCTGTGAAGATAGCTGATCTGTGACGTGTTTATATATGCCTTTGCAATGCAATGTTTGCACATGTCAGGGAGAGAGCTCCCTGCATGTATCATTGCCATATGAAATTATGTGGAAGTGTGTATCACACACACCCAAGACACACCCTGCAATGAGCTGATCCAAGTTAGTGACCAATCAGGAAGGTTCTCTAGCTATGTGGGTGGAGTTTGATACCAGCATAAATTACAGGTTGGTGACCGCGCGTGCTTTCACCGTACCCAGTTCAGTGGGAGGTCAAGAAGCCACGCCCACATGTGTGCATGTGACAAGCATGAGCTCTCCATCTGTGTGTATGTACAGTGTATTTGGGCGCCGGAGGTTTGTGTGTACATGTGTGTGTGACTGAGAGAGCATGCATGGGCTAGCATGTCCATGCATGTCTCTGCATGGACGAGGCAGGGACACGAGAGAGTAAAGAAGTAAAACAAGTGAGACTAGATAGAAAGGGTGGCTGTGTTAATCGGCTGAATTGAAGAATGATCAAAAACTTAAATTACTCACAATATCCAAGACTTTGTTTATTGATATTTCTAAAACTTCAATTATATTGTTATCAATATTATATGAACATTATTTTAGGGGGCGAGTCGGCAAGGGATGGATATTAATATTGAGAGAGAGAGAGAGAGAGAGAGAGAGACTCGGGGGAGAAGGGATGTGAGAGGAACTGACCATCGAATGTGTAAACATTTAGACAGTTGTGAGCTGAGAGTGCAGTAATAAGAAAAGTACATGAGCGATGAACACATTGCAGAGAGAAGGGAATAAAGAGGGTGAGAAAAGAGAGAAGGGGGCTGGTTGTTTTATTGTTTACAAATTCATTCATGGGGATTACTGCTGCCAGAAAGCTGGCGCGCAGCGGCCAGGGTGTAACATTACACTGCGGTTTCTTTGATTATCTTTATCATCGGCTATTAGCACATTCCAATATGTATGCAAATAACGGTTAACCGGAGCGAGAAATGCTAAACGGTTTTGATGAATGCGGTCGGATAACCGTCGGTTAAACGGTTTGACTCAGGCCTAACTGCAATCATATTATCATATCTACCATAAGATCTACTCATCATTATATGAAACTTTCAGGAAAGAAGGTAAGATGTCTAATTTTGTTAATTACGGAGTTGTAAGTTAGTTGAAAAACTCCTTCCATCTGAATTTCATCACATTGTCGGCAGATTTGAGCAAAACCATCTACTACGATGGTTATTCAACGTACAACTCGCTTCCGATGTGCATCGATAATTGCCGAAGAGAAATGACGTCAAATTTTTTTGTTTTAACCAATCAGAAGGCGGGGAAATCCGAAATAAACTGAGTGTTTTTTTTCGGCAGAACCACGAAAGCTCACGAAAGTGTGGCCGAAAGCGCGCTCACCCTTATGTATGTGGATTCGTATAGGGAGCTGAAATGCGCACCTGCGTACGTGAATAAGAAGTTGTCCCCATCGCGAAGGTTTAAACTGAACTGCCTACTTATAGTCGGTCATTTTGTCTCGAAATTCTCCTTTCAGACGTAAGCTTATACGTTCATTGTATCAGATATAATATCTGTCACGGTTTTATTCAAACAGATTACTTTGATCACGACCCATTCATTCAAAATGATTTTAAGTTTGACGTAATGTCACATTATTTGTTGCGACAAAGTTCAGTCCCATATATAGAGTTTTTTGTTGCACAATCGATTGACAAGTTACGTTATTCGATGCCGATGGCCATTTAAAAGTGAGATCTAAATATTTTTCAAATAATCTTAAAGTAAAGAAATGGACTGGTATCTTTTTGTTTATCATCCATTGTTTCTACTAATTACTATAAAACTTTCTAAAGTAGTAATGTAAATGAAAATTTTGCTCTTAAAACGGTGATGAACACCGATTAATTTTTCCTCTGACCATTCTGACCGAATGCCTGTAAAAATTATTCAATCGTGATATACTTCAACAACCCTAAACATAAGCTCAACAGGAAGTTCATCAAATACAAATATATGAATGTTTAAATTTATTTTATGCTGTCAATTATTATTTTATCTTTTCGTACTAATTCAAACACGTCATTTGTTTAAATTTTAAACAAGTTATCAAATACTCGATAGGTCAATAACTGCAATTTAAAACTAGTGACCAGACTCCACTGCTTGACGAAATTCAACATGGCTACTGTTATGCAGAGCCATTATGCATTATTAACGTCGGAAGACTCTTCACTAGTGCTGTTGTCGATTGGCCTCATATCGACATTGATGTCGACATAGAAGGATTTTGAACTAGTCCGACATGTCGACATGGATGTAGTAATATCGACATAAAAAGGGGACATTTTCATTGGGTCATTATACGTGAGAATCCAGAATGATATTGCTAATTGCTTACCTGATAATTAGTAAGTACTAGCAACCACTTTTAATAAATCATTTAATAATCCTTCAGTAAGATACCAACTCGATATACACTTGCGAATAGCAGTAGCGTTCGCGATGTGCACACCACGTTTTTGCATTCTGAATCTGAGCTTGCCGCATGCGCATGTAAATCGGCTTACACGGCAGTCACACTGCTTGATTATGAGTGCGTATCGCACACAGATTTTGCAAGACTACACATGTACATTGCAC